GATGGTTGTCGGTTAGAGAAACTCCCACATAAGTTATTGTATTTTTATATGCATCAGTTTATTGTATTTTTACATATATTTTAGAGTTATGTTGTATCCTTGCATACACACAAAGTTTACAGCATGTCTTTAAACAATTTGTTTCTTTATATTGCACTTATTTTAAATTGCTTTATATTGAAATGAGTTTAGTCATATTGAGTTGAGTATCCAGAGTTGAGTACCCAGAGTCAAATAACAAATCTTTGAGTTGAGTATCTTATCCTTGAGTACTTCTGAGTTGAGTAAGTTTGAGTAGTTTTGAGTATCCTTGAGTATTCCTTGAGTTGAGTAAGTTTGAGAAGAGATAAGTATGTTTCCTTTTTATCAAGTTTCAAGCTTATGTTTATGTTTTAGAATTCCCCTTACATGCTCGTACATTCCACGTACTGAGCCATTTGGCTCGCATCTTCTCATGATGCAGACACAGGTATTCAGGATCATCAACAGGAGCTTCGTTGATACATCCGAGAGTTCGAGTTAGCTATGGTGAGCCTCCTTGCTTCCGGAGGATATCAATTAACTTTCAGTTATATCAGTTGTTAGGATGTCGTGGGTCTTGTCCCGACTTTCATCTTTATTAGTTACAGGTTTCATAGATATTCAGTATAGTTGAGAAGTCTGTATTATTCATTTATTTTATTAAATGTTTTAAAGACTTAAGTTGCCTATTTTATGGCGAGTTGAATATATTATTTGTATTCTAAGTTGTTCATTTGAGTTAAAGTTTTGAAAAGTTGAGTTTATTGAATTTTATTCAGTTTTTAAGCTTTGTATGCTTGACTTAGTCTTCCGCTTGTAGTCAGCCAGGATGAGGGTTCGCTTGGGGACCAGCAATGGTTCTTGAGTGCCAGCCACGTCCAGGGTGTAGGCTCGGGTCGTAACATGTTGCCAATTCTCAGAAAAGAAAAATCACTCCTGACTCCACCAATATTTCCATTTTATAACTCAAAACTATTATAGATAAAAAAATTATCATCATAATAATAAAGAACAAATGTGCAATGCACGTTACCAGAAACTAGTATTATTAAATAATATTATTTTAATTATTTTTTGAATTGTAAGTTATTTATTAGGAAGGGAATGTGGAAGAACAAGAATCAATTAGAATTTCTAGAATATTAAATAAGTACATGAATCAAGTTTTCCTCCTTTTAATATTAAATTAAAGAATATGAAGAGTTGTAGCTAAATCAATACATACCACTACCAAATACAAATTTGTTATCTTGAATTCTTCCACTAGCATTTCTATGTACTCATATGGTAAAGTTTCTTCTTTTTCCATCTTCTATTGTTTGTTTGTAAGATTTTTATCATTTATAGATTTTTTCTCAAATTAGAAGGGATTGTTTCAATTCTAATTCTTTATTCATAATTGTTTCTCTTTCTGGAATTTCTTGTTACTATTTTGTGTAGAAATGTAAAATCACTATACATATTGACTTGCAATGTATCCGGTGTTATTTGGCTTGGAGTAACTTTGGTATTCTCTACTAATCACTAATAATTATACTTATTATGTTCACAACTACAATATTTTGGAAATACAAATGAACACAAGAGAGGATTTTATTTTATTATTTTATTTTGTTTGTACTTAAACTAATCAATAGTTGAGGTGTCTATATTCATGAATTCAGATAAAGATAAAAGAGATAAAGATAGAAAAATTAGGATGGAGTTCTAGGTACAAACAACTACATAATCCTTTTTTTTACTTAATGTATACTAATTGAACATATTTTTAAAAAAAATTGTCTAATACTTTGAACTATTTATTCATCTAAATGATTGTTTTGCTTTTAAAACTAATAACGATATTCTTTGCATTTAATTTTTGAAGCTGATATTTTTTTTAATAAACCAACTAAATTAATTTATGATCTGAGAGTAACAATAAAGTGTATAGCAAGTTTTACATTTTCACTTTATTTAGAAACACGAATTTGGAGCAAGATGAATTCATAAATTTATAAATATCAAGTATGACTTCTACATTGTCCTATAATGACTAAGTTTGATTACCTTATATTTACATGAACCGAATTCATTTGATTCGACATTTTTGTGGTTTTCTTTTTATAAATTATACATGCAATGTTTGGTTCATTGCTTTAAAGTTATGCATAGGATCGATCTAATATTATAATGTTATAATTTCACCCTTATTTTTAAAGGAAACAAATAGTAAGATGAATTGATTGAGGTTAAGTTGGTATTACATTAAAATTAAATAATTGTAATTTCTTTTCTCCTAGCACACATTTAGGTGACTATATTTACATTTAAAAATCAATTGAATCCCTATTTTAGTGATTCTCATTCACTACAGATGTGAGTTAATAAGAAGTTTAACAGATACTAATAATGCCTAATAATTAGTACACGTTACAATATAGCTAATTATAATGCTCCATGTTTGCCTTATATAATACTATACTGAAATATGTTAAATAAGTGCCTTATTATGTAAATGCAAATAATATCTTTTTCAACCTCTTCAAATTCCTAATAAAAACTCCACACGGTGTTGCCTTATTTAAAGTTAAGCTAAATAATGTTAACAATTTCCTTTCTATTACGGCCTTTTCAAAACTTAAAGATACACTCACAATGTTTTTGTTTGTCTTAATGTTATATTGACTACTAATAATATCATTTACAACCTTTTAAAAATTGTATACAGTCAGAACTTTTGGCCCTCTATTTTCCTTCATTAATCCAACATTATCAATAATAATTTTATATTAACTTTAAGTCATTAAACATCTTATATAAATGGATATCAAGTATATGTGTAACCCTCATCATTGGATGAAACAAGCTCAACATGTATACCTCTTCTTCTTTCATTTTGTTTTGTTACTTAAAAGCATAAATCCTCTCATTTATCCTATTTCTAGTATGATCCCTTTTATCTTTATTCTTATGTAGCTCTATTGGTTTTATTTTAGTAATCTATGATGATTTCAAGTTTTCTTATTTGCAATTTATTTGTTTTTTAGGTTGGTCCATAAGTATGTATATATATATACAAATTTAAAGCTCTCTTTTATCTTATATGCATTTATTTATTGCACCATATAATTTTTGGTTTATATTGTTTTCTTTTTCTACTATGTTGTTAATATCTCACAAATGATTGTGTTGTATTTCATAATTCAATTATATGTATATAACTTGACAAAAGTTTTCTTTTGTCAAAATTTACAGATGGCAGAATTAATAATTTTGAATGACCCAAAGAAGACGAAGGGTACATATACATGTAATTATTATTTATCTCTGTCTATTAAATATTTAAACAATGATTATTTTATAACAAATAAATACTTTTTTTTGTAGGTGTAGACTATGAAATTGATAATGATCTACCAGCCATACTAAGGAAGACATATGTTGCTAGAATTTCTCTACAACTATTACAAAACACCACTCTCCGACGACAAGTTCTCGATATATATATGCATCTGTAAAAAAAAAAGTGACGGGTATTATTCCTTAAATAGAAGGCGGAAAATTTAAGACATTAAATATATGTTGTAACTATGATGTCGACATTTAAATTATGTGTTGTAACATGTTAAAAAAAAGAACTTTTAACAAGTTGAATACTTGGTATATTATAAGAATTGTATAATTGAAGTCGTTATAGTATTAGTTTTGAAATTCACTTGATAACAATATTTTTGTATAATATATCTTGCTATGATCATAATATCAGTTGAATATGCTCATTGCTCATTGATTCGAGCTTGTATTTTACATAAGTAAACTTATATTTTATAAGTATTTATACTAATTAGCACGGTATACACGTGCAATGCACATGTTTGAAAACTAGTGTTAGTATTAACCTGAAGAGTAAAAAGATTTTATAGAGCCCAAGTAGAAGATACATGACATGAGTGTTAAAATATTATACTGAACACACCCTGAATGTTGATGATGAGCTGAAAAGGAATTCAATGAGTGATAAAGAACTTGGTCCCTCGAAATTAGCCCCGACAAAATATGTGAACCGGTGAATCAAGAAACATGATATAATAACCCTTCCATTAAATAGGAACTTTACATATAAGAATAAGGCATAATACATAAATATGCTTTTAACTTGACTTCAACTGACATCTATGCTCTTCAACTTTGCGTGTGTACAAGTAGACACTTAAACTTGTATAAGATTGAACAAGTAGACACGCACATCCTATGTGGCATAATACAGGTAGAATGCCACATAGGACACAAATTTGTCACTTTCGAAAAGCCACTTCCATAACCATCTGGGCCTTTTGTTTTCTCAATCTTAGACATGGCCCATGATACTGATTATGGCTATATTTGTATGTTGTCTTGTTTTACTTACCTGTTCATCTTTAGTATAATTGGAGATGACCGATAATCCTACCAGTACACTGTGGATTTTAATAAATGTTATCAAAGTTTGTGTACTCTATGATAAATAATACAAAGCCGAATGAATTAGTAAAATATTAGTATTATTAGATATGATACCATGATAAATAATTTAAGAATTTGAAAAACTCACATAACAGAAATTGTTACTGTTGTAGGTGAAGGATCTATGCAAATTTTCAGAAAACAAATCTTTAATTAATCAATGAATTGGAGAGAGTATCATTCCATATGAAGTTGCATTTAATAAAGATGAAGCTTATCTGATCTCTAATTTGCTTACCTTCTTTATAGAGGGAAGCAGAAGATACACAAGTGTTTAAATATTTTACTCAACACACCCTGAATGTTGATGATGAGCTGAAAAGGAATTAAACGTTGGTCCCTCGAAATTTGCCCCGACAAAATATATGAATCAAGAAGCATGATATAATAATCCTTCCATTCAAGGAGCAGAGAAGAACAGAGAGAATTAAAAAGATATCATTATTAGTTCCCTTGAACAGAGACATTAAATCATAAAAAGACAGTTGTGCAAGTAAATAAAATTGTCTACTCTTCCGCTTCCTCCTTTATGTAATTAACTTTTTCCTTTCCTTTTGTGCTTGCCTATTCCAAGTCCAAGTCCATCCATGTAAGTTGAGTGTTTTCAGACACCAAATTTTCCCCTTTTCCGACTATCCACTCATCCATGGAGTCAACAACATCCTCTGCAATATCATTTTCTCCTTCGGGATCAAATGCCTGCAATTGCAAATTACAATGGACAAATACCAAGTCACTCAGCCTCTGCTGCTCTATCTGATTCCTCCCTTTTCTATGCAATGTCTCAACCAAGCTCCTTTTCAGCCTATAATGTGAAGCACCATTGCACGTCTGACTAAGGATCCGAACAGCAAGCCTTTCAAGTTCGGGAAACTCAACTTCATATTTTGACCACCAATGTCCTGCAAACATAACACATATATATATTAAAACACACATTAAATAAAAAAATTAAAGTATAAAATATTGTACCAACCTGGGGAAATATCTGATAGAATCTCTTTGGAACTTAAAAAATCAAATGTGCCAATTTGCTGTGTGATCAAATCCTTTATACGACGATCTTCTGCCATGCCAGTAATACAAGAGCAAAGACCATCGGAAATCTTCACATTAAGGCACCAATTACTTGAATGAAAAAAGGTTGGGTTCAAATAGTAACCCGCGTCATGGAGAGGACTGTGCAGATATTTGTTCCATGTGTCATCTATCGCATTCCAGATTTTTGCATGACAGAATCTCGTGCTTTTGAACTCCTTTCTGATGGTTTCTTTAGCTTGATCAAGTGTATCATGTATAAAACCAACTTGTGCCTTATTAGTACCATTCAGAAACTTTATAACTTCCACAAGCGGAATGGTTGCTTTTACAGCCATCAAAGCCTCAGTCCAAAATGATTCATCTTTAATCATTTCGGACATTCCTTTCCCCTCACTCGTAGAAGCCAAGAGTGAGGTTTGCCAAGTAGACGACTGAAACATCCTAATTAACCCATCTTTCTGTGAGACAATATTTTCCAGAGTCAAAAAAGGCACAATTGCCTTTATTTTGGAAGACTTTACAAGCTCGGCCTCAGAGAAAGCATCTCTTAGAAGCTTCAGGACCGTAGCATGGCTGTAGATAAATTGGACCAACATTTTTGCCTTCTCCAAAGCTTCTTTTATCCAGCCTATCTTTGTTACTTCCTGTAACATCAGTTCCATGCAATATGAAGCATCTATGCTCCAAAACACTGTCTTGCATTTGTCCATCAATTTCTTGCCTGCTTCCATCATCCAATCAGATGTCGTGTATGCAACAATTTGGACGACATTTTCAACTCCAACTTCCTCCAGAATCTCCTCGAGAAATAATAGCATGGCATCGAAATTCCTACTGAAAGATGATATATCTGAAGATCGAAGATAAATGGTACCCCTCGGGCAGTACACTAGGATATTAATCAGATTTCGATTGTTTAAATCTATCCATCCATCTAGCAAGATACTACACCCTGTGCTTGCCCATGATTTTCTGATTTCTGTTACATACTGTTGCATCTCTTGCACTGCATCCTCAAGGATCCAACCATTCAACTCCTGACAACTAGGGAATTTTATTGTCTGCCCGGGACTAAGGGTGGCTTTAACCATCCTTCGGAAGCTAGGTGATCTGATAGCATCAAAGTCGATTCCTGCTTCATAAAAAATCTCCCTATAGATTTCGAAATCTCTTGTGAGGATTGAAAACTCTTCTTAGCAAGAATCTCAGCATGAAATGCTTCTTTCACAGGCGTAGGAACCTCCGAGCAAGGAGTTACATTTCCACGAATACCTGCTAAGTGGAGCTTAAGCCTATGAAAGCCAGAAACAATTTTAGCACAGTACTTACACCTAGCTTTAATTGACTTATAATTCTCATCAAGTACTTCATCGCCATGATCACGAATATTAATTTCCTCTAGAGCCATTTCCATCGTTTATATATATTGAGTGTTCTTCAACTGCAAAAAAACCAGTCCATGAGTTGTTAAGACCTGTTTAAACTAGAGAGTACTCATAACTTATTTTCTTACTAGCAAACATAACCAATTCCCTAAATTCTTACATATATTATTTCATGCCTACAAGATCAATTCCATAAAATAAGCATCACTATCCCCACACTATCCTTTATTTCCATCTTGGTGATCATTCACATTTCAAATTTAGTGTCGAGCACCGAACATGCATAACAACCCAACTTTACATATTATTCTGGCTTAGGAGCTATTAGATAAATAAATAACTTGAGAAACACTAGTCCACCAAAACCTCTTACTAATAGTAGTCGATCTTAATCTTACAATCTATCTAATTATAATACATAAGCAAATCCTTATTTCACACATCACATCACCACTACCTATCCATTCCAACATCGAAACTATATTCATAGCTTTATAAGCATCAAACGTTTCCTTTTCAGAATCACAAAGTAAAGCCTTGAGCTATCAATCTTAAACCACCTTATTCTTTCATTAATGACTTGAATCATAATTTAACCACCATATTCTTTCATTAATGACCTGAATCATAAACTCATTTCCGAGTTCAATCATAATCTAAGTCATATTAACCAATGACTTCTTTTCTACCTTCTACCATAAGATCTACATCAACTTATTATTCCTTAGTTAACACCTGAACACATATATAAATACATATACTACACCTTGATAATTCATTATCCCCACCATTTTGGATACTACACTTCTATATTCACACATCAAATTTTGGGTCATTCCACTAATAAATCATAACATCCTAAATTATACTATTTTTCGGGTGCCAATACTATGCAAGAATCTGGAAACCTACTTTTTCCTTTCATGGATGTTCTATGTAACACAGTTATAGACGGTTCTGGATGCACATCATATTTTGACTCAACAACTTGATTCACATAAATAAGAATATAAGATTTTGAATTGATGGGTAAAGCATACTAATGGGATCATCTCAAGCCTTTGCTACGGTCTCAGAAATGTTCATACTTCAATCTAAGAACACCATTTTAGTAAGAATCGAGATTTACTACTTCTATGCACCTCGAAGATGAGGAATAGTTAGACAAATTTTAACAACGCTTGAATCTGCATATATTTCTTAGGAGATACCTTTGTTGCACGATATAGAGTATAAATAAGAGAAATATTTTCTTAACATCATGTAGCCTCCCCTTATAAGTGTGGCGTGCTTCACACCCATTACAAGAACTCTAGTAGATGTGGCTTTTCAGACATCCTAGGACACTTGAACCTAGTGCTCTTATATCAAGTTTGTCATGACCCGAGTCTATACTCCTGTTGGGACATAGTACCTAGAACCACGCATGATCCCAAGCTAACCTTTGGCATAAATATCAAAGCATAACATAAAGAAACTAAACGGAAGCAGAAATATATAATTGAACAATAGAGTTTAAAAAAACCACAAAACTATATTTCTACTGTTTGAATAAAGCCTTTAAAACCATCATTCAACTGTTATCAACACATCATTCGCAAAATAGGGAGGGTCAGGACTGAAGATGCAGAATAAGGGATATGTTGTTAAATCATAGATTATACCTATCTTGACTTTGACACTCATAAGTGGGGAACCTGAAGAGATAAGTGTAATAGGCACGAGTATGTTATATACTTAAAGCATAAAACATACATAGAGAGGCATTCTAAGCATAGAGCATGTTACAATTATCTAACCTATCCATGGGTGAATGTAGGTAGGGTCTAGAACAACAAAATCATAGGCACGATTTGTTCCAGAAATATGTACCGAAAACATACTTAACATATTGTGATTTCACTAGTCATCAAGAATGTATCATGAGTAATACGAATGAGCATATTAAGAAATCATGGGTGCGTGCATCGATAGTTGTATATCATAGAGCAAGAAGTCATAGATTCATGGAATAATATGGAGATCGTTGTTCTAAAGCTATTTCTTTCTGTAACATCGGCAAATTTAAAATGAATATGAAGAAGCTTGAAATTGGAAGTAGTCACTTTTGGAAAAAAATTCAGAATCTGGAAATTTGGCTAAGTCCAGAATCTGGAAATTTGGCTAAGTTTAAAATCTGGAAAATTTGGCTAAGCGTGGAAATCAGTGAGTTTTTGGCCAACTTTGAGCAGTCGTAACTCCTAGCTCAGGATGAGTCAGGAGTATTTCCAGTTATGGTTGTGAAGCTTGTGGAATGATCTTTCCAACACCACTGAGTTTTCTCAATTCCGAGTTCATATGAGCGAGTTATGCCCGTTGAAAGTTGGGCAGTTGGCAGGGAATCCGTCCGGAAATTTTAAGGGCATTTTGGTCTTTTCCCTAGCCATATCTTTTGAGGTTATATTGTGTGTTAGGCTGATTTTGGATCATTTTTATCCCATTTTAAAAGAGAAAGAGTTAGGGTTCTTGAGAGTGAAGAAGAAGAAGAGAAGAAGAGAAGAAGAGAAGAAGAGGAAAAGAAGAGGAGAAAGGAGATCAACAAGTTTCCATCGTGGATTTTCGTCGGGGGTGATCCCTATCAAGGTATGTGAGTTCTTTGTTTGGTTTGATCCTTCCCCCCCACACACCAAACTCATTTTTATGATTTGAGAAAAGATTGGATTTGTGTTGAAGTTGTTGAAGTTGTTAGTTGTTGTTGATGTTGTTAGTTGTGTTGTTGAAGTTATTGTTGGTTGTGGGACATGATTGGGTTGTGTATTTGAGTTGTAATTTATTGTATGTTGAGAGATTGATGATCCTTAGTGTTGGTTGGTTTATACCCCCACACACCAACTCGTTTTTAATTCCAAGA